CATCATTAGATACACAGGAACGCAGAAAAAGTCCATAAACAACGAATATGTTTTGACTTTTACTGAAAAATACAAATATTTCATTGTGCTACTTCGTCTATTCTTGAACTGAACGTACCGACTCAATTCTCACACGTCACTACTTATATATTTATTCGTAAAAATTGTTTCAGTTAAAAAATTTAATTTATTGCAGTGCTACAGGAGTGTTTCATTTGCTGTTCTTGAGACATGTGCATGCTACTTTTTGGAAAACCATTTCGTGTGATTTTGTTCATTTTTAATTTAGATCTTTTTTGCTGCAGGCCTCTAGAAGGTACTAAAAGCGGATTGGTGACGTAGTCGTTGATTAGCCAGATGAGTTTAACTCTCTAACTGAAATCTACGTTAATAATAAAAACAATGGGTTGTAGGTTTAAGATATTTAAAGGTTCGGTAAGATTTTCACCGATTAAAAGACCAATGAAGATGGAAGAACTTTGACGGAGTATATTCCGAAATATTAGGTATTGATGTGATTTGAATGCACACATGTGCGTAGGGGTGCGTTGACTATCACAATTATAATTAACTTCCGATAAAATTAATAATCGTTGAAACTACTGTAATAAATTGACGAACTCGAAGGCAAACTGGTCAAATGGGTTCTACCATATGTATCAAAATCATGAAAATGGAAGATTGCTGGATTTGAAACTAACTATCCATATGAGCTCGAAAAAATATGTATTATGTACGACTTGTAAAATTTTACATGCCTTTCTTATTCTCTCTTTGTACAAAATAGTATTTACATTATCTATTATTTTTTCATCAATTGAAATCAAGTTAGAGTTATCAGTTTATATGCATAAATATTTGCATTATCAATAAACTACCGTTCAGGTATTAACGTGTAAGCCGAATAGGTGTCTCAGAATAAATGTTACCAGTTTGTAGGGTAAATAAAGAGATACAAGGTGATAACGTTTTGCCAATAAATATGTGATGAGCAATTTCATATAAAGAAGTTGTCAGGTAAAAATTGTCCCTGATTATTAGGTACTTCCATATGACTTGTGTTCGGCCGGTCACGTACTCACGCAATTTAAGAGAATACGTGTTCATGCTGGACTTGCAAAAAACGTTGGGGAAAACGGCACATGTGTAACTTGGTTACATTAAATTTCCGACCACATGTTTATTAGTAACAGGTGATCATCTTTAATTAGTTTAATACCCTAGAAGTAACATTTATTCTGATACACTCTGCATAGCGCTACCGAACTAAATAAAGATAAATATTTTATTTGAATTCTGAACAAGATGCTAGACGTTAAAATGCATTTCAAAATGTGTTTTAGCTCAGTGACTTCTAAAACCCAAGACATGATTTAAAATTTATCCTAGGGCAATATACTACGTTCGAAGGGAGAAACTTTTCGGTATCAAAAAATGACTGTGAATTAAATCCCTTCAAAAACGTCGCCATAATTACTAGATCTCAAATTTCCTCAGCCAGGAAACGACACATCTCAATATGAATGTGACTGATACCGTTGTGTTAGAGCCTGAACTTCGAAATCGGAGTCAAAATTATTAGGTATCGCAGGCCGCCTAGTAAGAGGTGCCAGTCTTTATAAATTCACAATGCACAAAAACACACATCTCAACAATCATCATTTATTAATTAATTTAAGTAATACGTTTTAGAAAGTGTGGTTAAAAACAAATCACAAGAAGATAGTTCTTGAGACGGTTTATAGAATAAAACTGCCTTAAGCTGAGATATAAGCAAGTTCACTCAGGTTAAACCTTCACGACTGATGATTTCATAACTAGATGAGAGAGTTAATGATGATGAGACTGATGGAGAAATATTAGAATGAGAAGCAATGAGAAAAGGGAGAACGCTAAGCCAAACTGCCGTGAGCTCGCTCTACCTGCTACAATGGATTCCAAATAGAATGGTCGTGGATCAAACTCAACGTTGAGACATTTCACTTTTCTTGTTTACAGACATGTTTGTATTTGTTTCTAATGCCTGTGCTCGGGAAATGGGCCCATTAGCCTAAATCTTCACAAATTGTAGGTCTTTATTTCGGTATCAGTTCCTAAGCATGCAGCCATACCTGGAACGGATGAACGACTTTTATAGATCCTCATCACGCTTTTATTGGATGATGTTATGAAAAGTAAGATAAAGGAAGCAATGGTGGAATGAGAGAAAGAGTAGGGGGGGCAGAAATCTGAGGCGGAGCTACTTTACCCATCTGAAACTCCTCAAGGGTCACCCTGGCTGTGAACCCCGGTGCCCAGAGTTGGCAGGCGAGCAGACTGTGTGTGTGTGTGTGTGTGTGTGACGGCGAGTGCGGTTGCAGGTGCGCGTGCCCGCGGGCTTCTGCGTGACGGCGGCCGCGCTGCACCGCCAGCTGCACGGCGCGCCCGAGCTGCTGTCCGCGGTGCGGCGCGTGGAAGAAGCCGCCTCGCAGGGCGACCACGACGCCCTGCGCCACGCCTGCGAACAGTGAGTAGCTCCTCTCTCTTTCCTTTCACTTCAGTGATGCCTTTTTTTCCGTGGCGAGGTTGAGGCCATCTGGTCTGCTCTCCCGTCTGACCACGCAAATTCCGCTATGCTCTTTTCACCGTCTGGCAGAGAAGGGAGGAATCGCTCCGTGACGAAGCAGTCGATTTGAATTTAGCACAAAGGCTTCATTTAGACTTGAGCATCTTTTACATCTACAACATGGGACCGCCGACTTTACTTCCCCTCCGAAGGAGGGTGTACGAAGGGTTGATGACAAGGATTTCGATCAGGTTAGAACCCTCATACTTGGGTATAACAGTCCGATATGCTGACCGTTACATCACCGAAGCCACACTCTTTCCTCTTCTAGAGAATGATAAAAGGTCATTGGTGTGATAGTTCGGCGCACCGAATTTTGCTCGCATGCGCAACAGCAGATACGTCATGAATTACGTGATCACAACAGGGCACTTCGTTTGAAAATCCTCGCCAGACGCTGGCTGCCATGGTCCACGGCAAGCGAGAAGTGCTGAGAAAGCTTTTGAATGTGTCAAAAACTGAGGATTTTCAACGGTGACGGAACAAAAATAACATGAATGTGTAGTCGAAATTCAAGCTGCAACATTTAAAAAATGTTTCATGTATATGTTTCGATGACTTGTAACAAGGTGATAATTTTGGTATCTGACTGTATTTAAAATTCCCGCTAATATTGTGACGCAAACGAGCATTACGCTCATAGGTTGGATCCGGCTAGGCTGCGCAATAGTTCACTTATATCTTTTCATTATGTTAGAGTAACATTTGCGCTAAGACATTCGACATCGCCAACAAAACATCAATGTTTCTAAACATCGATTATCAAACTTAAAATATCGATGTTAATTCAAAATTGCGTCTGAAACATAAATTTTTTTAAACATTGATGTTTTTAAAATTGCAATAGTAAATTCTTTTACTGTTATGGGTAATTTAATAGTGGACCCGACTGTTTATTTTCAATTGATATTTAACTATCAAGACACAGTTAAATTATCAGGGAATTTAACAAAACTTGTTATTTGATTGGATAATTTAAAAAATACGAATTTCATTACTTTTCACTTTTGGTCACTTTGATCTGAAGAATATTCAGTTCATGGATATCCGAAAATTATTACAGGTTTAAAAACATCAAACACGAAACAGAGTTAAAAAACATTCTCTTTACAAAGTCGATCCATAGATGATTTTATAAAATCATCGACATCGGTGCCGCATCCCTAATTTTCGAATGGGGAATTGGAGTAAACCTGTGGTATAGAGTGGCTAGACGGGCGTTGCATCACATAAAGACGGCGTTCGAAAATTCCACGTATA